TTTTCAGTTTTCAGAACTAGCTTACTCTAACTTAGAGCTTTTCTTTCTAGCACTCTTATACATTGCCTACTTATTCTTTTTTTGTTCTCTTCCACATGCCATGACACTTGATATTTCAAAAATTACTCCGATCTTCCTCTCTACTGCCTTTGATACATCATTTACTTGTTTACAATGCTTCCTCTTCTTATCACAAGAACCTTTTTTACAACTGATAAATTCTTTAACCCCAAAATGGTCATGTTTCCATCTCTTTGTCTTAATAAACTAGCTTAATACTTGTAATATCCCTCGCGAAGTATATATTATAAAAACATTTAGGTTTATTAAGTTATAGTTTTATAAAAATAAATAAGTAGATGTTTTTTTATTATTAATATTTATTTACAGTTATAACCTTGGGTGCCTTACTAATTAGAAAATAGAAAAAATTTTAAGTAAATAAAGAAGTTTTCATTAGTGTCAGTTTTTGTTTATCACATTTAAGATAAAAAGGTTAAGGTCAATTCATTTATTTGACCATATCACATTAAATCACATTAAAAGAGAGGTTAAGGACAATTATCATGTTAAAAAGAAAAAACTAATAGTAGGGGTTAGGCTAGTTTTACATTACCATGCTTTAAAAAAAAGGCAAAAAAGTTAACGTTAGTTTATTTCATCAGATTTAAACGATAATTAATTAAAAGAGCTTAACACTAGGGAAGAAGAAAGATAGAGAAAAGGAAAAAGTATTCAAGGGATTGCTGATTAAGGCTACTAAGAGGATTTTCTAAATTGTTGCTTGATAGTGAACTTGACAATTAGGTAAGTGACTGATATTTTTTCGGCGTTTTCACACTCTAAAAATTAGCCTCAATATGAATTTGTACATGATATATGACATTTTGTCCTATGATTTGTTAAAATTGGGTTGAGCATGCAAAATGTATATGTATATGAGTTTTATATGTTGGATTTAAAATATGGGTTATGCAAAGCGTGATTTCTAATTTTGGAATTTGCATGACTTTGTATAATGTATGCAAATATGTTTTCGTGAATATAAATATAAATATTTAGTTTGAAACAAATATGCCTTTGATGTATATGAGATATGTTTGAGAAAGTTGATATAGTATGTTATGAAATTTAGGTAATCTAAAAATATATGTTTCTGTTTTGTCTCCTAGTATGACTATGCTATGACCGTACAAATAGAGGTTAAATGTTGGACATGTCGACATGTAGTATGTGATTAGAAATTGATCTCCTAACCGCAGCACCAGTTGTAGAATAGTGGTATTTGTGATATCTATTTAGTGTAGCCAATGGTTGCTTTTGATATATTTCTGACCCGTGTCACTTGGGTTAATTGTGGATTTATTTCTAACCTATGCCATAGGGGTTAAGTGTGGTCATAGCATGTTACAAGAGACCATCAAAATCTATAATTTTGTGAAATTTATATTTTGTTCTGTTAATTGAAAGTTTTGGAGTAAGATAGTTTTGTTATTCGCAATTAGGTTACTCAAACTTCTATTTTGGTATGTGTATGAGAATAAATAATTTTGGGCCTAAAAGACTTAATTTTAGTACTACTTTTCATCCCTAAATAGATGGTTAGTTTGAGAGAACTAATCAAATTCTCGAGGACATGTTGAGAGCTTATGTCATGAATTTGGAGGTTCTTGGGATCGACACTTGTCATAGGCGGGATTTGCTTGTAATAATAGCTATCAGTTTAGTATCCAAATAGCTCTATTTGAAGATTTGTATGATAGGAAATGCATGTCATCTTTTTGTTAGGATGATGTGGATGAAAGAAGTTATTGGGTCCAGATTTTACTCAATAAGCTATTGAGAAGGTTCAGTTAATCAAAGTACATCTTTGTACAACTCAAAGTAGACAGAAAAGTTATGTAGATAATAGAAGAAGGAATTTAGAATTTGAGGTCGAAGATGATGTTTTCCTATGAGTTTCACCTACAAAAAGTAATGCAATTTGGGATTTAAGGAAAACTTAGTCTCGTTATGTGGGATTATTTGAGATTTTGGACAGGGTTGGTGATGTGGCTTATAGACTGGCACTTCCACTTGCTTTATCGAGAGTACATAATGTGTTTCATGTTTCTTTATTGAGAAAATATGTTCCAAATCCTAACCATGTGATGGAGTTAGCTTCTTTGAGACTTAGAGAAGATTTGTCTTATGATAAGCATCTCAGACATATTATGGATAGGAAATAGCAAGTTTTAAGAAGGCAGACTATTCCTTATGTTAAGGTTCAGTGGAGTAATCACACAAAACGAAAAACGACTTGGAATTTGAAAAAAAAATCAAAGATAAGTATCCCGATCTTTTTTAGGATCAAGATAAAAGTTTAAGGGACTACACTACTTTTAAGGAAGGGAGGACGTAATACTGATAACTCTATTATATAGAGTTATTTTGAGTCATTTTGGAAGCTTAAGTAGCTAGATCTTTGAGATTTTAGGTTTGAATTTTAGCATTATAGGTGTTTTTTTTTTAGTTTAAGTTTGATTACTTGTTAAGTGATTAATTTAAGTTATTTTAGTTAAATTTTAAGTTATTTTATTTTAAATTACTTTAAGAGTAGTTATTGCTAATTTCTCTTATGACTTTTGTAGGAAATTGATGAAAAAGACTCATTTGATGAAAATCAGTGCAAGTAAGGTGATAGCTTCATTCGTATATGTTTCAGTATTTTGACCATATCTCTTTCTAAAAAACTCCAAATGAGGTGATTCTTAAACCAATCGAATTATAAGAAGAAGGGATATTGTAATCCTAGGCTTGTTTGATTTGATATTTATTTGAGTATTGATTATTTTGATTTTTCTTAATTTAATTCTGCTATAACTTAGTTTGATTTGATATTATTTTGATATTGTTTGGATAAGATTAATTTGCGATAATTTTAGTACTTAGTAAACTTTTAGATCAATTCCCTGTGGGATCGATACTCTACTTGCTAATATACTGTCTATTCGATACGTATACTTACGTAGTAGAATTTTAACTAACAAATACCCCTCACAAAGTATATATTATAAAAATATTTAGATTTATTAAGTTATAATTTTATAAAAATAAATAAGTAGATGTTGTTTTATTATTTTATACATTTACAGTTATAACCTTGGGTGTTTTAATAATTAAAAAAATAGAAAAAAGGGGTGTTTAAGTAAAAAAGTTTTAATTAGTGTTAATTTTTATATATCACGTTTAAGATAAATGGGTTAAGATCAATTTATTTATCTGACCATATCACATTAAATCACATAAAAAGAGAAATTAAGGACAGTTATCGTGTTAGACAGTTAGAAGAGCTTAATGCTAGGAAAGAAGAAAGATAGAAAAGAGGAAAAAGTATTCAAGGAATTACTGATTAAGGCTGCTAGGAGGATTTTTTGAGTTGTTGCTTGATAGTGAACTGGACAATCAAGTAAGTGACTGATATCCCTTTAGTGTTTTTACAATTTAAAAATTAGCCTCAATGTGAATTTATACATAATATATAATATTTTGTCTAATAATTTATTAAATTGGGTTGAACATGCAAAATGTATATGTAAATGAGTTTATATGTTGGATTTAGAATGTGGATTATGCAAAGCGTGATTTTTTATTTTGAAATTTGTATATGACTTTGTATAATGTATGAACATATGTTTTCGTGAATATAAACATAAATATTTAGTTTGAAACGAACATGCTTTTGATGTATATGAGATATGCTTGAGAAAGTTGATATACTGTTTTATACAATTTGAGTAATCTAAAAATATATGTTTCTATTTTGCTTCCTAGTATGGTTATGCTCTTGCCCTGCTAATAGGGGTTAAATGTTGGTTATGTCAACATGTAGTCTATGATTAGAGATTAATCTCCCAACAGCACCACCAATTATAGAATAGTGGTATTTATAATATCTGTTCAATGTAGCCAATGGTTGCTTTTGATATATTTTTGACCCATGCCATCAATGTTAATTGTGAATTTATTTTTGACTTATCCTACAAGGGCTAAGTGTGGTTATAGCATGTTACAGTAGATTATCAAATCTGTAATTTTGTGAAATTTATGTTTTATTCTGTTAATTGAAAATTTTGGAGTAAGATAGTTTTGTTATTCAAAATTAGATTACCCAAAATTCTATTTTGATATTTATATGAGAATAAATAATTTTGAGCTCAAATGTTTTGAGCATGCTTAATCCAGCTGAAGAGATGTTAGTCACTTGCTAAGCTGTTGGATTCACTCATTCTTTCATTTTTTTCAAGTTGTGGTTTAGTTAAACACATGAAAAATTTCAAGGAGTGATGTTTCGTAGACTAGCATATGGTTTTGATTTGCTTCAAGATTTTTCTTGGCATCTTAGTTTATAGTATTAGAAACTTCCTTTTGAACAGTGTTGAAATTATGTTCCTCTTGAATGTTGATAGACTTAATTTTGAGAATCATTATATTTCAAAAATGTATTTGACCCCTTTAGTTAATTGGTTAAGATATATGTGTTTGAACCTTTCATGTATGTAGGATTATATCTTACAAGTGTGTGGTATCTGTTGTGCTTCAAGTTTGGGGCCTGACAATACTTCAACTTTGTGTCTTTACTCACCGATTCTCATCACTATGTTCCTCTTTAGCAGCTTAGAAATGGTTCAGTTTGCCAGAGTTAATTGCAATTCGCATAATTCACCAATGAGGCAATGAGCCAACTTGAACTACCCCATCATTGTTTTCTTAACTCACAAGATGAAGGAAGCTATCAGGGAAGGTACACAAGGCGATTTCACCACTGCTTAATCCTTAAAAAGATACCATTGCCTTTACTACTTAACGGTTGACATGAAATTACCAGTTTACCACAGCCAATCTTGAATATTTGCCCTATGAAAAAAAACAATAAACTTAAATTAAAACGAAAAATAAGTTAAATGTAAACAGTAGTAGGAAATGGGCAAGGATATTTTAGTTAGAATCCTACGCAACACTTAGTTTTTCAAAGTCCTCCCTTCCAAGAAACAGGCTCCAATTTCTCTTCACATTTCTCTCCACCTATAAAAACCAATCATATCAAAAAGTCAAAATCGAAATGGCAGCAGCTCAACAACTGAAACCATGCTTAATCTTAATCAATCATCAAACGAGCACTAGATTCTTCATATTCCGGAACCACAAGAATCTTCACAGTCTTCCACCCAGAAGATGGTTTCAAAATGCGAATATTTGTTTTCCTCATAGATTCCCCTCTCGGTCTTATTTTAACTCTCCTTCTTGTCATCCTTCTTTCACGCTTTGCTCTCGTTTTCCTCTTTCTCGGCCTCCTTTTCCTTCTCTGTTCCCACTTAGTTTTTATCGTTTTCGATCTCTTTTAACTTCAATGGCCACTCCTCAAGCTGCCAATGACTCCTCTCAGCCTTCCCAAACCAAAACCGTGAGTTCCTACCTACGTTGCAATTGATAATATTTTGCTTATTTGGAATATATTGGGTTTTTGAAAAAAATGATTCTTTTGACCAACCTTAGGTTTCAAGATTGAATTTTAATTTGAAAATTGTTTCATTATGTGCTAATGATAGATATAAATTCTGGGTTTTGGTTGTTTTACTTGGAAAATTTAGTTTAGTGAGAGGAATGCTGTAATGGCTGAAAAGAAAAGGACTTATTTTTAACCAATCCTAATTGTCAATATTGAGGCCACGTTCATGGGCTTAATGGGACTGTTTTGACTTTCTTAATGGAGAATGGAAATGGGTTTTGAATGTTTCCTTGGAAATTTCAGTTAATTTTGAGGAATGTTACGACAGTTCTATCTTGAAGTAGCAATTCCATAGCACTAGGGTTTAGTTTGTACTAATTAGGATTTTATGTCTCTTTCTTAGGTATTGATAACAGTGGTTCGGTTGTTTCCTTAGTGGCTTCAATTTTGTATAAAACATGGGCATCTCTAAGTTTGTGTGTGCAATTTAGGATGAAAATGGCTTTCAAAAAAAATTTCGGATAAGTTGGATGTTTATATATACTAATTAGGGTTTGTCTTTCTTACATTTTGACAATGGGTTTTGGCTGTTTCCTCGAAAAAATCAATTTTGTGTTATTAATGGGCCTATCTGGCTTGATTTGTTCATTTTAGGTATTTGAATGTCTATATATGGTACCAATTAATTTGTTTGTGCTAATTAGTATTTTAAGTCTGTTCATTAGTTTTAACAATGGGTTTAGGTTGTTCCCTTAGACGATTTAATTTTGTCATTTTGTGCAAATAATGGGGCATCTCTTGATTTGCTTGTGCAGTTTAGATTTTGGAACTTTCTGCATATTAATCAATTTAGTTTATGCCGATTAGGGTTTTATATCACTTTATTATTTTTGATGATGGTTTTTGGATTTCCCCTCTGAAAGCTTAATTTTGTGATGGACACCTCTTGATTTGATTGTGCAATTTAGGTTTTTGGATTTCTCTATTTCTTAATTGTGATAAATTGTGGATTTTGATGACGCAGGTGCGGGTTGTCATAAAGGGTAGGGTTCAGGGTGTCTTCTATAGGAACTGGACAATAGAAAATGCCACTCAACTGGGCTTGAAGGGTTGGGTCAGGAACAGGAGGGATGGTTCAGTTGAAGTTCTTTTTTCTGGGTGCCCGGACTCTGTCCAGGAGATGGAGCAGAGGTGCCGTCGTGGTCCACCTGCTGCCATGGTTACTGGGCTTCAGCTTTTCCCTTCCAATGACGATCCTGGCACTGGATTTGAGAGGAGGCCAACAGTCTGATCACTCTTTATGTGAAGAGATTACTGCCCATTCTATATAGTATGTATAATCTTGTTCTCTGAGGAATAAAACAGCTGAGTGGTTGTGAAATACTGATGATGTTGTTAAAAAGTATGGATATTAATGAATTCGAGTATAATTTGTGATGATCCTTTTCCATTTAAATGAATTTTGTTTGATGAGTATTTTGTTTCTTAATTAGAAGAATGACAGTGTAAGAGTGTGAATGGAGAAACGGGTTATAACTCAATGTATTCTTGCTAAACTTGGTTACCTTAGACCTGCCTGACAAATGTGTCAATATAAATTTATAATGCATTGACCCTGGATGTGTACTTATATAAATATTTCTCATTCATAAGCAAATTTGCACAAGATGCTATTTCACATTTTCACAGTTTCTTCATATATATATATATATATCAGAATATCTTCGTCCAGCCTTAAAGCTAGTTTGCTTTGACTTGCTTTGGAAAGAATGTATATCTGTGAAGGTTTATCTTTTCCATTTTTGCCATAGATACTTGTCAGAGAAATGGAGTTAATCATTTCATTATTGGTGCTGTTTGAAGCATGTTCTCTGTTTGACTTTGTCTGAGCAGTCCAAATAATTTTGTTGGGGTAAAAAGAACTGTGTTCATTCATAGATATACAGTTTGAGACTCGTAACACTTGAATTATTTCTTGGAACTATACAAGAGAAATTGCTTAGCAAGATCTCCATTGAGCTGACATGCTCCATGACCCTTGACGTCTTATTATTGCTATTTTTTTTCTGGATTATTGCATCATTGCAAAATATGCATGTTTATGTTGTATTTTTGTCATAGTACTAACCTTTTTGTCATTCACCTATCTAGTATGCTAAAACTGGGAGGATGTTTAAACTGTTATCATCTAGCTCATCAATCATTTTAAAGTTGTAAGAACAGGCTATAGAGAAATTTTTGTTTGCACAAGTTGGAAAGCTCATTGTCCCTTGTGGGCCTAAAAGCTCCAGAAGATTATTAAAATTGTAGTAGATATGTGTTCTATCCAAATTGAATGAGTTCCTTGCTTATCCATTCTTCCAATTTTCCAAAGGTGTTGCATTTGAATTCTCCTAGCATGTTGTTTGTCGTGTACTATGCCAGCCGTGAAAATGAGATAACTGTAGCACATGTTTCTTTCCCTTATCTAATTATCCTGTTCATTCATGTGATAATCTGTGAACTGTATCTGCCATGAAATAGATGTAACCATTGTACTAGATATCTTTGGTCTATTGTCTATTCTGATGAATTTCTCTGTTCCAGACATGTTAAATGTGGTTTCCTCACAATATTTGAGAATGTTTTCTTTTCTTGTCTTCTTCTTTTGTTTCAATTGCATTAGGTGCTTAGGGACCGCCAATGTCACATGATTGTTACAGAAGCTTCATAAATAGGATTGCATCCACATGCATCAAGCCATAGTGCAGTAGATGTTTCGTTTTATACATTAAGAATGTTGTAAGCAAAGTTGCTAAACTTGTATGTTTTATCCAGCATAGCTGATAACTTTAAAATGAGTCTATATTAGAGTCTAATGCAAGTTTCAGTAATATGAGACAAAGTTACGGATGTTTGCCTACTTAGGCTTTATGGTGGCCTGGCAAAATTAGGGATTTAAGTTTAATGCTTACGATTGGAATTAATGTCAGGGTTTGAGAATTAAATAGGGTTTTGATTCAATTGAAATTGGTCTAAAAAGAAGGCAAGGGAAAGATTGCTGGAATTTTCTGGCCTCAGTGGATTAGAAAAACAAGTTTATGGTTGCTGTTCTTGTGGAGATCAGAAACCTGAAGTACTGTAGCAGGAGAGAGGGATAGAAGAAATAAGAGATGGCATGAACAATCACTCTTATAACAATTTTTCCTACGAAAATTAATAACTAAAATCTTTATTACAATTAACTCTACCTAGACTAGCAATACAAAAAGATACGAATAGACATGCATTACAATATTGTAGTTGCACTAGGTTTACTAAAATCATTAGGCTTGGAAATAAAACTTAACTAATATAAGCCAAAAGACTTCTCAAAACTATAATAGCTCAACCCAAAATAAGACCTAAGGGACCATGGTTACAACTGATTCCGGCTAAGCAGAAATTAGCAAAATACTCCTAGAGACAAAAACTGATTAAACTGATAATTTATTATTCTTGCCTAACTAGCTAACAAGAGATCTTCCCTTTGACCAAAAAAAGACTTTCTGTTTATTTGGAACCCTTGATCTTAACCTTAGGCTTCCAAAGAGCATTGAAACCTATCTAACCAAGCTATTGATGGGCTACCAGGCAGGTTTTCATTGGATAACTGCAAATCGGTATTCCACTTCATAGCCTAGGATAGAAGTAGGATTTGTAATCCAATGGCTATTTAAGAGTTGGTCTTTTTGTGTTTCACTTGATTCTCTTGACTCATCTGGTGGATATGTGGCCCTAGTTCTTGCTGATGTAGAACTTGATTTCCCAAGTTCTCTTAAGAAATAGCCTAACTTCATTTCATATGGATAATCTATAATTTATTTATTATTGTTAAAGCATTCTTTTTTTCTTTGCTAAAGTGTAAGATTTAAGTTGTAGAACTCATCTACCATCTGTTTAACACTCTTCACTAGCTAAGCATCTTCGAGAGAGAATACTATTTGAATTCTGTAAGTCATTGCATACTTACTGTTGCCATGCAGTTATTATTTTGATGAGTTATGACCGGATGGTATGTTTGTGCATGGTAATTTTACCTTGGTAAACCTCCTGTCTTATTTCCCCGTCGGCAGCAACATTCCTAAAAAGTTGTCTTACTGATGGAATGAGAATACTGATTAGCTGTGAAATGGTTGGAGGAAGAGCTTTGGCTTTCTATCATGTGTATCTTTTGTCTTGTCGTTGTATTAGGTGTAAGTCTTTAAGTAGATTGTGTTTTCAGGTTCTGAAAGCGGACTGTCGACGACACATTATATTCAACTAAAAATAGGGGGTGCAACTAAGCTGACAATTTAAGCAGTATCACATGTAAAAAGCACTGCACACTATGGTCCCCTAACGACTTTTTTTCCCAGTTCCTTCATTTTATCTGCCATCTTTTACTTGCGAAATGCTATATATATACCTGCATTGCCTTCAGAGAACCTCAAGGTGATTGCAACAATTTTTGGTGAGTGACTTAACCATGGGTAAGGCTAAGAATTTTGGGGTCTTGAAGAAGGGAAGTATTGGAATGATAAGGTTGATTGCGGGGAAGCTGCAAAGAAGCCTTTCCCTGTCCAAGACGATCAGGGAAGGCCACTTTGTAGTGATTGCCACCGAAGGTCCAGAATCAAAGAGGTTTGTCATCAAATTAGATCATCTCAACAATCCTGAGTTCTTGAAGTTGTTGAAGCAGGCAGAGGAAGAATTCGGGTTTTACCGAGAGGGGGCCCTTGAACTTCCTTGTCGACCAGATGAGCTGCAAAGAATTCTAGGCATATAATGCTAGGCTAAAATTACTTATACTTTTATTAACTAGCTAAGTATAGTCTGACAGCTTTTTCTATTTCTGTGATAACTGATATGCTTGTGTTACAAATTCTTATGTTAGTACTTTGATCTCTCCTTTGCTTTATATCTATACTAGATGTTCCTTCTTTTAACCCGTTATTTGGGGAATTAGTTAAGAGTTATGTTATCACTTGTCAATGATAATTCAGCTGATTGGAAATGATTGGAGTGGAACTTCATACTGGTATAACAGAAAAATCTTCCTTCTGCCAATTTGGTCTACTTAAATCTTGAGAATGGTTGCTTTTCAAAAAAAAAAAAAAAATCTTGAGAATGGTTTCTGATTGGATTATTTCAGGTGTATGTAGCTCTATAGGTGGCAAAAGCTAGCAAAACTCAGATGATCCAACTGATTAGTTTGAAATGCAACTCAACTTGAATCTGACTTAAAAATCTCAGTAACTTCAAAATAACTTCAAGGACTTGAATCCAAGTAACATGAAACTCAAAGCAGCTTGTACAGAAGGGCTTCTGGTACACTTTAGTTGGCTAATCGGGTCCAACGGGCTGAAAAGAAAAGGTAAATTCGGTTTAGAGTTATTTGTCCTCGTAAGATACCTTTCAAGTTTCTGTGGTTCTGCACTGACACACATGCTTTCAGATATCCTCTGAAATCGACAGGTTGTGTCTGCTTCAGATCTACAACGACTGAACAGAAACAATGAGGTTAAAACTATAACACAGACGGGGCTTCTTAATGCAATACTAAACTTGAAAGCTGTACAGGGCTTAACCCTACTGACCCATGGAGTCAAAGTTAGATTATCATCAAACAGACCAAAGCCTGGAAGATGCAGCATACAAGCGGGTTGTGTATTTTCCATTACTATGGGTGGTAATGACAGATGAAATGGTCAGAGCAATTATTTGTTAATGGAATCTTTCTATATATGTAGCCTATCAAGCTTGTATTTTTCAGGCTTAGTTTTTTATGAGTGGCTTTTACATTTAATTTTTGGGAATTTAAAATGTCAAATTAACAGACAAAGAAACATTGAAGCACAGGATTGAAGATTAATGCTGCTGTATTGCTTGCACTCATCTAGTGGGAAATTCTGCTACCTAACAGAAGCCTACGACTCACTATTTACAAGATTGCCACTGTCAGTTTGTTAACTAACTTAGCTGACTGACTTCTACACAATTACTAAAATAACCTTTTAGACTTTAACTCTCTCTCTCTCTCTCTCTCTCTCTATATATATATATATAGCCACTACCGGTCATTTGCATTGCACGTGCGTCAATTCTATTAGGCAGCATTTTAATAGTACGGTATAACTCGATATTTTATTTTTGAGATTTATTATGCCCTTACTACTTGATATGTTAAAAGAAAAGTGCAAATAACATTGAAAATATAGTAAAATCAACGTCTAATTTTATCTTACTCTTACAAGATTAAATCCCTAGAAATAATTAGAGGGTTGCAGCCTTACAATCTATATTTAGCATTAAAATAATAAGATAAGTAGAGCTCTATTTTTCTTCTCCTCATGCATCCTTTTCTTTTACATTTGAACTTCTCTTTTGTTTACACATTTTTTTGCAAAGTTTTACAGCTTCACACTCCTAAATTTATT